TAATGAAAAACAATATTGAAATACATTATTGCCAAAAAATAATAATATAATTTTTGGTAGATTATATTCTGTGATTATCAAAACAACAATTTTATTGAACGCCTGTCAGCGCCGAATTATTCCGGTTATACAGTAAGGCCGCCAAAACACCATACTTGTTTAGTGTTAATTAAGAGCCTTTTGTACGAAGAAACATATTTTGACCCAGCATGTTTATAGATTTTGACAGTAAAATGTGTTATGCCTTTATTGATGTTCAAATGTGCACTTTATTCATTTTTTTTTCATATGTTTATTATTTTTAGATAACTAAACATCTTATTTATGTTACCTTTACAACTTTTCTGTGGAATGTTAACACATTTCTTTCTGTAAATTAAAGAATATTCTAGCATATGGTGTAAGATATTTCTTAATTTTTGGTTACTCGACGGGCACGTCCTTACTGCATCTGCTCAAGTACATATCTTACAAATTAACTAATGTACATGACAAAATATGAAGACTCGTAAGAGACACATTTACAATGAACATCATTTTTTTTAAATCCTTTAAACCTAATCATTATATCTGCTAGCTCCATGAAATATTTTTCTGTGGACCCATTTGAATAAATTACAACATATTTCTGCAAAAAAATTAACAAACTTATCACTTTGTCTCTTCTTAATAAATTTTACACGGATAAAATAGAGGTAAATTAAAGATTAAATAGTTTTGAAGATATATCATTTCATAACGAAACACTTTTGCACCCACTAATATAATAATAATAATAATAATAATAATAATAATAATAATAATAATAATAATAATTAAGCATTTATATAGCGCTCTTTACCAAGGGGTGCCCCCCCCCCCCCGCTTAATAACCTGTAACGTGAGCAAACTCTTTAAAACAATAACAAATTGCCACATATATTGCCCAAATACATATATCATCAGGAGAACCTGGATTATTAATCAGTGTCAGAAAACCTGAAAGGAAATTCGGAGCATACAGTGTGCCTTATACTAGAGATCGGGAGGATAGTTGGGCATTCAAAATGGGCCAATGCGTGGCTTGTATTCCAGAGAGAGGTGTATGGGTGGTTGACAATCCTAGATATATTTTGGAGAAAAAAGTAAAACAGACACAAAGCAATTCGCTATACCACCATAATAACGTATTTCTATTAATTTCCTAATTATACATTTAAAATCTAAAACTGACTCTTCGAAATTTTCAATTCCAACTAGATTTGTGAGATTGTGGAATAACCTCCATCCTGATATCCGAAATTATTTCACTATATCTTTTAAATTTGATTTCTTCAAATGCAAGTTTAAAACATATGTTAATGATTTTTAATTGTTCTTTATTGTTTATCATTACTCTTATTCCATTATTATTATTTTATTTATTTATTTATTTATTTATTTATTTTCTGGGAGCAGCACATCTCTAAGGTGACAGTGGTTCCGCTTTTGCTGCTCCCTGGCTCACCTGATTATTCTTTGTTTGTGAATTTCTGATTTTTTTAAATTTTTTTTTTGTAATTGTAATGTTTTATATTGTTAATTGTTTTTGCCAGAATGAATAAAATAAAATAAATAAAAATAAATACCCAATTAGCAGTTTCTTTGTTTTTAAATACACTTTTGTGATGGGAGGTGTTTTTGTTAGCGATCCTATGCAAGTGACCGCTATGTAAATATTGTTTAAGCTACTCTACATTTTGTCATACTTTGAAATGCAAAATTCATATTAATATTATTAGACTTGCCCATAATTTAAGATATTTACTATTTATGTATCTCTTTTTTATGTTGTAAGTTAGTGTTTACAATATTGTTATAGCATGGTACTCTTTCAATTATTCATTTATGTTATTCCCATGATAATGATCTTCTAGGTAGAGTAGGTAGAATACCCTTATGACATGTTTAAACATTATAGTCAATGTTATATGTATCATAATTATGCAGTTCAGTGATTGTTTTATGTATTTAAGTCGTTTTAATAAGGCTACATTCAGTTTTTTCATTATCTTCAGAAGTGACGTAGAAATAAAACATGACCTGGATGAAGATTACAGATTTAATGTCGATTATATTATTATTTATTGGTTCATGATTTGACAAACAGTAAAAGCTCGCAATTATTAAATGCGGTCAATCAATCGACTAACCGGGATCCATCAAACAAATTCAGTTAAATCAAACAAATAAAATTCGACCCCTCAGGATTTGAACCCAAGACCTCCGACATACCATGTGGATGTACTAACAGACTGAGTTATGGGGTCCAGTAGTTTGAAGCCATACCAAATCAACGTAACGATAATATAGTACGAAATAAGAGGAAAATCCAATTGGACCTCTTCGGGATTTGAACCCAGGACCTCCGTCATGCGTTGTAGATACTCAGACTGACTCAGTTATGGGGGTCCAATAGAATTGCAACCATACCCCATCAACGAAACGATGATTTATTATAAAATAAGAAAATAAAAGTGGACCTCTTTGGGATTTGAACTCGGAACCTCCTTCATACTGTTCGGAAGTTCTACCGATTCTTCCGACATACTATGTGGACGCTCTGGCCGATTGAGTACAATTAGACCCATACCAAATCAACGTAACAATGATATAATACGAAATAAGAGGAAAATCAAATTGGACATTTTTGGGATTTGAACCCGTGACCTCCGTCATACGGTTCGGAATCTCCAATGGATGGGGTCAAGTGGGACTGGAGCCATATTTCATATATCGGCGTAACAATGATATAATTTTAAAAAAGGGAAATCAAATTGAACCCCTTCGGGATTTGAGCCCGATCACTCCGACATACCATATTGATGATCTGATCGACTGGAGGCCCTAGTAGAATTAGAGCCATATGCCTATCGTCGGACACAAAATTATATAATCCGACATACGAGAAATATAAAATTCAACCCCTTCTGGATTTGGACCCGACACCTTCCAATCCCACTAGAGCCACGGTGGGGTCTGTTGGGGTTGGAGCCATTCCATCGATGTAAAGATGATACAATACGAAACAGGGTGAAAAATCAAAATCGATCCCAGAGAAAAATGAGAATTTATCAAAAATCTATAGATGATAACATGGATTGCGTTTTATTACAAAGTGCGACAGAGCTTATTACAAAGTGCGACAGCTCATTTTATTACAAAGTGCAACAAACAGTTATTACAAAGTGCGACAGCTCAGTTATTACAAAGTGCGTCAGACTTTATTACAAAGTGCGACAGTTATTACAAAGTGCGACAGACTTTATTACAAAGTGCGACAGTTATTACGAAGTGCGACGATTATTACAAAGTGTGACGCAACATCGTGCAATACACTCTGTATAGACAAAATATAGCAGTATATGACTTTGTGTAGGCCTACTATGTATTTCATTA